GGTTTCACAGGTCGGCGCAACATCGAGGGCCGAAGGGCCTGTACTGCACTGTAATGTTCTATGTTCTATGTTCTATGGTCACAGTGACTGAGACGACTCCTCCCAGAATCCTCCTCAGTTGCTTCTCAGCAGCACCCTCTGTCATAGGTTTAAGGTGAAAGGGGGGTAGATACAAAAGCGTCCAGAGGGGCAATTTGTTCACACAGAGTGTGGTTAGTGTCTGAAATGGGCTGCCAGGGGTAGTGGTGGATGAGAGTACAATTTTGTCATTTAAGAAACATTTGGACAGTTACATGGATGGACTAGATATGGGGTGATCTGGACCAAACTCAGGCAAATGGGTCTAGATTAATTGTGAACACTTGGGGCATGGACAATTTGGGCCGAAGGACATGTTTCCATGCTGTGAACCTCTGTGACTCTGTGACCACAAGGCATGGGAGCAGATTTTGGCAATTTGGCTCATCAGGTCTGCTATGCCATTTGGTCATGGCTGATATGTTTCTCAACCCAAGTCTTCTGCTTTGTCCCCATAACCCTTCATTCCCTTACTAATCAACAGCCTATCTATCTCTGTCTTAAATACACTCAGTGAATTGGCCTGCACAGCCTTCTGCAGCAATGAGTTCCACAGATTCACCACCCTCTGGCTGAAGCCATTCCTCCTCATCTCAGTTTAAAGGATCGTCCTTTCACTCTGAGACTGTGCCCTTGGGTCCTAGCTTCTCCAACTAATGGAAATATATCCACATCCATTCTATCCATGTCCCTCGGTGTTCTAAGTTTCAATCAGATCTCCTCCTCATCCATCTAAATTCCATTGAGTACCGACCCAGAGTCCTCAACTGTTCCATACATAACAAGTCCTTTATCTCTGAGATCATTCTTGTAAACCTCCTCTGGAACCCCTCCTCCAACACCAGCATATCTTTCCTTCGATACAGGGCCCAAAACTGCTCACAGTATTCCAAATGCGATCTGACCAGAGCCTTGTACAACCTCAGCAGTATATCCTTGCTCTTGTATTCTAGCCCTCTTGAAATGAGTGCTAACATTGCATTTGCCTTTCTAAATGCTGACTGAACCTGCATGTTAACCTTAAGAGAATCCTTGAGGATTCCCAAGTCACTTTGCGCTTCAGATTTCTGAAGCCTTTCCCTATTTAGAAAAAAGTCCACGTCTCTATTCTTCCTTTCAAAGTGCATGATCTCAGACTTACCCACAATGTATTCTACCTGCCACTTCTTTGCCCACCCTCTGAGCCCATCTCTGCAGCCTTCCCATTTCCTCAACACTACCTGCTCACCTATCTTTGCATCATCTGTAAATTTAGCAACAATGCCCTCAGTTCCCTCATCCAGATCATTAATGTATAACATAAATAGTTGCGGTTCCAACATGGACCTCTGTGGTACAGTCACCAAAAGGCCCCTTTTGGAATATTATAATCAATGGATATACTGATTCTACTGCCACTTCCTTTAAGACCCTAGGATGTAAGCCATCAGATCCTGGGGACTTGTCTTCAATCCCAGTAGTTTGCTCAGTACTTTTTCTCCAGTGATGATAATTGTTCTAACTTCTTCCTTTACTATAACCTCTGCATTTCCTGTTACTGTTGGGACGGTACTCATGTTGTCTATCAAAAAATTGATTTAGTGTCTCTGTCATTTATTGGGGATAATCTTGGCATTAGCGCTAGACTATTAATTCAGAGGCCCAGGTAACATTCTGTGTGGCTTGAATTCCTGCCATTGCAGATGATGCAATTTGAATTAATTTTTTTTAAAAATCTGGAATTAAGAGTTTAATGATGACAGTGAAACCATTTCTGATTGTTGGGAAAAACCCATCTGGTTCACTAATGCCCTTTAGGAAGGAAATCTATCATCCTTGTCTTACCGACATGTGACTCCAGACCGACAGCAATGAGGTTGTGACTTAACTGCCCTCTAGGCAATAGATGCTGGCTTTGTGATATGGATACATGACTGAATTTTTAAAAATAAATTCTGTGTTCCCCACGACTAACTCCCCAGTCTCATCTTCCAAGTGACCAACATTCACTTTAGCTACAAAAACAAAAGTTGCTGGAAAAGCTCAGCAGGTCTGGCAGCATCTGTGAAGAAAAAAATCAGAGTTAACGTTTCGGGTCCGGTGACCGGTTCTGAGGAAGGGTCACCGGACCCAAAATGCTAACTCTGATATTTTTCTTCACAGATGTTGCCAGGCCTGTTGAGATTTTCCAGCAAGTTCTGTTTCTGTTCCTGATTTACAACATCCTCAGTTCTTTCAGTTTTTATTCACCTTAGCCACTCTCTTCCTTTCTACATACTTATAGAAGCTTTTGCTATCAGATTTTATATTTTGCTGTAGTCTTTCATAATTTATCTTTGCTCTTTTTATTACATTTTTAGTAACCCTTTGTGGTTCTTTAAAAGTTTCCAATCTTTCAGCCTGCCAGTCACCTTTGCTATATGATATGCCTTAGTTTTGTCTTTATGCTATTTTTTAACTTCCTTGATTAGCCATGCATGTTCTTTCCCCATCTTACAATCTTTCTTCCTTTCTGGAATATATTTTAGTTTGGAGAAATTAAGTATCTCCTTAAATATCTGCCACTGTTCTTACTAGGTCCTATCTTTCAATTTCTCTGCCTAGTCCACTAGGGCCAAATCTGTCCTCATGCCAATGTAACTACCTTTATTTAACTCCAGAACACTAGTGTGGGATTTCAGTTTCTCTCCCTCCAACTGATTTTGAAATTCTAGCATGCATTGATTATGATTGTGTTCATAACTGTGATCTGATTATGTCTAACTCTATCACATTCACCCCCAGCTACCCTTTGATTCCCTGCCCAACAAGAATCCATCACTTCCAACTTAAAAATAGCATTGTAATCACTGGAATTTAGAAAGTTAAACAGTGATTTGATTGAACCTTTCGATATACTAAAAGCAGCAAATAGGGTAAATTGGAAAAATAATTTCTGTTGCTTTGTAAGTCAAAGCACCATTGTCAGAATGTCAGAGGCAGACTTTTCAGGAGTGAAATTATGAAAGATTTCTCCACAGAACGAGTAGTAAAAGTTTGAACTGAAATCAAAATTGATGCTAGATTGTTATTTTAAACCTGATGCTGGAAATAGTTTCTTAGCCATTATTATTAAGAATACGTGGAGCTGTTCGCAGATTAAGCATGATCTCATTTAACAGCAGAACAGGCTGAAGGGCCTAAATGACCTCTTCCTGTTCCTCCATTAAACGTTGCTCTGACTGTGTCTTCCAGATAAATGATAAATCTTTCAAAAGGTGGAAAAGCTGTGACAGCCTACAAAGAGGGAGGTAGAGTGGTAATGTCAGTGCTTGGAGGGGATAGATGGCAGTGGAAGGTTGCGTTGAAGATCAGGTGACATTGGAGGAGCGAAAGGGACAGTTACCATGATTGTGGGGAAGGGTGACATTGGAAAATTGGATAATAGTTAGGGAAACAAAAGGAGACAGCTAGACTTTCTCAAGGAGGCACCTAACAATGGCTATTCATGGGATAGTGGATCAAACATGGTTAGGTTGGTCTCTAGAGTGATTTGTGGGTGACTGGTTAGCTTATCTCCTTGTCTTATTGATGAAAGAAGTGAGAAGAGTCTAAATCTGGTTCTTCATTGTATTGTCTTTTCTAGGAATTGAAGGACCCCCTGGACTGCCTGGACCACCTGGACCACAAGGTAGGGCATGCCCATTACGACCAGTTTTCTGTGCTCTTCCACAGTATTGACTTCTATGCTCCTCCATCTCCATTCCTGGCTATAACCTGTCATACCAGGGTTGATGTCATAGCCAATTTCCCCATTTCTGGTCCAATCATCAGCCAAGTAATAGAAGATGTCCTTGCTCAGAGCTCTTATGGCACTATATTAGTGTCCCTATCTCTGAGCCAGGAGGCCTGGTTTCAAGTCACACCCAGAGGTGCGACATAACATGCCTGAACAGGTTGATTGAAAAATATCTAGGTGTTCTTGGCAGGACCTTCAGTGGCATTTACTCACCAAAAAACAATTCTTTCAGATGTCGTGTCAGTGTCTCTGATTCTGTGCTATCCAGTATTCTACCCTTCCTTTCTGGAGTGGTTGACTGTACTCCCTGTATTTTGAATTCTGATGCATTGTAATTCTCTCAGGTCCTGCTGGTGAAGATGCCTTCATTGAGCGGATTTCATTCTCGGCGGCTCTCACCACCCCTCAACTCAATCCTGGGACAATCCTGTTTGACAAGGTGTTGGTGAATGATGGAAACCATTACAATCCAAACACAGGTGAGACCTGGGGTCCCTACTTTAACCACTGTCAAATCTTTTGATCCTCCCCTTTAACCTTGAAAGCACTCTCTCCTGTTGTTTTCAGGTATCTTTACCGTCCCATATGATGGTCGTTATTTCATTAGTGCCATTTTAACTGGACATCGCAACCAGAGGATTGAAGCAGTTCTCGCAAAGTCTAACATAGGACTGGCAAGGATTGACTCAGGGGGTTTCCAACCCGAAGGGCTGGAGAACAGGCCCGTGCTGGGAAACCAACCTATCTCAGCATCCCTGGGAATTTTCAACATCATCTTACCACTCCGCCAAGGTGACACTGTCTGTATTGATCTTGTTACAGGCAGATTGGCCCATTCAGATGAACCACTGACTGTTTTTAATGGGGTTCTTTTGTATGATGATGAGGATATTTGATGAATGGTCCTCCTGGGGATTACCCTGTCTTGAGGGCAGTATTTAAACAGAAATATATTCAGAGCTCTTTCATACCAACTACAAGATCGAGAGACCAATCTCCACACTGCTGAAGAAGGGTCACTGGACCCAAAACGTTAACTCTGCTTTCTCTCCACAGATGCTGCAAGATCTGCTGAGTCTCTCCAGCAATTTCTGTTTTTGCTCCACACTGCAGCTGAAGTATTTAATATAATGTAAGGTATGCAACAGTTTCTGGGACCAACTGATGTTGCAGGAGGGAGCTCAAAAACCAAGGCTTTCAAATTCTGACCTCCCACCCCTATTTTACCTTTTTAAAAAAGACACACATTTAGCCAAAGACTTGACCCAATGTCCAGGATCCGGCAGATCGCTGAGGAAGTTTGGTGTCTGAAATATGGAGAAGAATCCAAGGAACTCAGTTTCTTGTGAAAACTGTCAGTTCACAGGTGATTGTTTATTAATAAAAAGTTCACTTTTTTAATGCTGGTATTGTCTCATTGTATCCAACCAAAGTTGTTTGGAGCCTTTATTGATTTCAAACACTTCCACCATTCTCCCTCCTCTGTGAGGGTGTAGGCAGGAGACATAGAGACACAATGTGAGACTTAGATCTGGTAAGTGGTGATTTAAGTGCATATGGAAATTCGGTGCGTGAGGGAAAGATGTGCTTTAAGTGAGGTCTATTGCAACTAGTAAAGTATTCTGTATGAGTTGGATGTATCAGTGCTGGTAAGGTTTAGCATTGGGATATAAGAAGAGTTATAAGGTTTGTTAGTGTCTAAAAAGGAACAGTGCACTAAAGTGAATATTGGTCTCTTAGAGGATGAGACTAAAGAATTGGTCATGGGGAACATAGAAATGGCAGAGACACTAAATCAATATTTTGCCTCAGTTTTCAAGGTGGAAGACACTGAAACTATCCAACAGTAATGCAGAGATTATTGAAAAGGAGGAACTTAAAACTAATCACCACCACTAGGGAAAAATAAGTAGTGAGCAAACTATTGGTATTGAAGGCAGACAAGTCCCCAGGGCCTAATGGCCTACAACCTAGGGTCAGAAAGGAAGTGGCAGAAAAGATAAGGAATCCATTGGTTATAATATTTGAAGATTCCCTGTATTCTGGAAAGGTTCCAGGGGACTGGAAAGTGCTAATATAACATCTTTACACAAAAAGGGGGACAGCACAAAAGTAGGAAACTATACACCAGTTAGTTTAATGTCTGTCATTAGGAAATTGTTGGAATACATTATTAAGGAAGTAGTAATGGGACATTTGAAAGTCAAAATCTAATCCACCAGAGTCAGCATGGTTTTATGAAGGGTAAATCATGTTTGCTAGAGCTCTTTGAAGACTTAACAAGCAAAGTGGACAATGGGGATGGTGTAGATATAGTATAATTAGACTATAAGAAGGCATTGCTAAGGTGCCACATAAAGGGTTAACACACAAGATAAGATCACACAGGTTTGGAAGAAATATAATTGCTTGGGTAGAGGATTGGCTAAGCAACAGAAAACAGAGACTCAAAGTAAATGGGTCTTTTTCTAGTTGGCAATCTGTAACTAGTGGGGCGCCAGAGGGTTTTACTCTTGGGGCCCATATAAGACCATAATAAACAGGAACAGGAGTAAACCTTTCAACCCTCGAACCTACTTCACCATTCAGTAGGATCATGGCTAATATGACACTGTTCACGTCTCCTGATCAAGAATCTATCTACCTATCCCTCAACCTTAAATATACAGATGAGCTCTGACCCACAACAAGAAATTGCAAAGACTCACAACCCTCTGAGAGAAGAAATTTTTCCTCTTCTCAGTCATAAGTTGGTGCCATTTAATTCTGAGTCCTAGACTCTCCCGGGAGGGAAAACATCCTCTCAGCATTGACCCTGTCAAGCTCCTTAAGAATCTTGTATGTTTCAATGAGATCACCTTTAGTTCTTCTAAACTCCAATGAGTAGAATTCCAGCCTGTTTAACATGTGCTCATAAGAAAATTCCTCCATACCATGGAGCATCGTCATTAACGTTTTCTGAATTGGATCCAATTAAATGATACCTTTTCTTAACTAAGGAGACTAAAACTGCTTGCAGTACTTTCACTGTACCTCAGTACATGAAAATAATAAATCAAATCAAAATGAGATCAAATGTAGTCTCACCAGCACCTTGTACAGTTACAGTAAGACTTCTCTATTCATACTCTAATCCCGTTAAAATAAAGTTCAAAATTCCATTAACCTTCCTGAATACCTGCTCCCCTTGTGTGCTCACTTTCTGTGTTTTGTGCACGGTATCCCCAAGCCCTTTTGTGTTCAAGCTTTTTGCAGTTTTTCTCCATCTGAAATATATTTTCTTCTCCCTTCCAAAATGAACTTCACATTTTTCCACATTATACTTCATTTTTTTTTGCCCACTGGACCTATCTGTAAACTGTATCTCTCTCACAACATGCTTTTCCACCTAATTTTTGTGTCACTGCAAATTTGGCTGTTGTACGTTTGCTTCCTTCCTCCAAGTTTTGTATTGGTATTAATGATGGATGCAGGAATGAAGTGTACTATAGCCAAATTTGCAGATGACATGAAAACACGTGGGCAAGTAAGCTGCATTGAAGAAATAAGAAATTTACAAATGGATGTGGATAGGTTAGGTGAATGGGCCAGCGTTTGGCAGACGGAGCGTAATGTGAATAAGTGAGAGATTATCTATTTTGGTTAGAAGAATAAAATGACAGTTTATTACCAAAATGGAGAGAAATTTCAAAATGCTTTGGTGCAAAGCTATGAATGTTCTCGTGCATGACATGCAGAAAGCTAGGATGCAGGTGCAGCAGGTAATGAAGGAAAATGGAATTTTGGCATTTATTGCTAAAGGAATGGAGGATAAAAGCAGGTAAGTGTTATTTCGATTGTACACTGGTGTGATCACATCTGGAATACTCTGTACACTTTTCATCTCCTTATTTGAGGAGTGATATAATTGCATTGGAGGCAGTTCAGAGAAATAGCTGAAGACTAATTGCAGAGATAAAAAGTTTGTCTTATGAAGAGAAATTGAGCAGTTTAGGCTTATAAATCACTAGAGTTTAGAAGAGTGAGAACCTCTAATGTGGTATACAAGATACTGATGGAGATTAGCATAGTAGATGTAGAGTGGATATTTCCCCTTGTGGGACTTTCTAGAATGGGAGCCATAGATCTATGCCAAAGGGTGGCAGATTTAATGTAGATGTGGAGGAATTACTTCCCTGAAAAAGTCATAAATCTGTGGAATTCATTAACCCAGAGTACAGTGGACAGGGGAGAGAGACAGATATTTAATTAGCAATGGGTTAAGGAGTTATGGTGTTAGGCAGATAAGTAGAGTTGAGGCTGAGAGTAAATCAGGCATGATTAGATTAAATGGTGGAGCAGGTTTGAGGAGCTGATTTGCCCATTCCACCTCTGAGTTTTTGATGTTCTTACAGCGATAGTGGATGCAATGGTTGTAATTTAACAAAAATCCTTGGATTCTAGAGAGTACCAGAGGGTTGGGAAACTGCCAATGTGACACCCTTATTCAAAAAGGGAGGCAAAGACAGGGAATGATAGGCCGATTAACCTAACATCTGTTATTGGAAAAATATTGGAATACCTTAAGGAAGTAATAACAGCACATTTGGAAAATCTACTCAAGCAGTCAGCGTGGCTTTGTGAAAGGGAAATCATGTCTGACTCATTTATTAGAGATTTTCGAGGAAGTCTCTACCAGTGTGGATAGAGAGAAACCAATATGTGTTGTATTTGGATTCCAGGAATGTGTTCAACAAGGTACCTCATTAAGGTTAAGTACAAGATTAGAACATATGGTCTTGTGGGTGCAGTATCCTTATGTGTATTTAAAGCTGAGAGAGATAGATTCTTGATCATTTTGGGAAATTGAGAGTTATGAGAGTAACATGGTGACTCAGTGGTTAGCACTACTGCCTCACAGCACCAGGGACCCGGGTTCGATTCCAGCCTCGGGTAACTGTCTGTGTGGAGACTGCACATTCTCCCTGTGTCTGCGTAGATTTCCTCCCACAGTCCAAAGATGTGCAGGTTATGTGGATTGGCTATTTTTAATTGCCCCTCGTATCCAGGGGATGTGCAAGCTAGGTGGATTAGCCATGGGAAATGCAGGGTTACAGGGATAGAGTAGGGGATGTGTCTAGGTGGGATGCTCTTTGGACAATCAATGTGGACTTGATGGGCCAAATTGCCTGCTTCTGCCCTGGAAGGATTCTATGACTCTATAATAATACAGGGAAGTGGATTGTGAGGAATGTCGAATCCGCTATGAGCCTAATGAAGGGTGGAGCTGGCATGAGGACCTGAATGGCCTACTCCTCTTCCTATTTCTTATGGACCTCATCATCTTAAATTAAAGCCAAATAAAACTTAATTTGATAAACCAAAGTAAAATAAAATTTTCTTCACTTGTGTTAACGTGGGCATGGCAGGGTAGTTCGGTCGCATAGAACCTATGTCCAGCAGCACATGGTATGTTATGGACACTACTGAGTACCTACAAAACTACTTGTACGGGAAGTGTCTCCAGCTGCAGAAAGCAGATCTCCGCATTTTGGAACTTAAGAAATGGCTGGAGTCAGTGTGACACATCTACAAGGGTGGGAGATACCTGGATAGTACATTCAGAGGGATGGCCACAACACAGGCTAGGAGCATGGAGGCAGAAAGGGAATGGATGAGTTGCAGGAATCCTGAGATCCCACTTGCTAATTATTTTTCTGCTTTGGCTACTGGTGAGGGCATTCGTTTCTCAGGGAAAAAGGAACATTTGGATCACCACATGCACCTCAGCTGGACAGGAGGGCAGGAAGTTTGGGGGGAGGGGAGAAAAGCAGTAGTGACAAAGCATTCATTAGTTAGGGACAATTTGGCATTTCTGAATATAAACTTCAGCATTGTATGTGCCTACCTAGCTCCAGGGACAAGGATGTCACAAAATGGCTACAGGACATTCTTCTGAAGGCAGGGTGAATATACAGAAATTGTGGTCCATATCTGGGCCAATGACTTAGACAGGAAAAGAGGATTATGTCCTGAAAGCAGATTTCAGGGAGCTGGGAAGGAGATTGAGAAGCAGAACATCTGAAGCAATAGCCTCAGCATTAGATCCAGTGCCACATGCTTGTGAACAGAGAAACAGCAAATGATCATATTGCTGGAGCTCTGGTGTTGTGAGAGAGGCCATCAGATTTCTGAAGCATTAGTACCAGTGTCGGGGCAAGAGGGTCATGTACAAGTCAAACAGACTGTGTCTTTGCAGGATGGGGACTAATATCCTTGTGGGGAGATTGTCGATATGTGGAGGGTTTAAATTAGGTTATCTGGGGGATGACAACTTAAGAAGTACCTCAGGTTCAAGGGAAGCAACAATGAGCAAAACATAGAAATTGAAAAAGATAGATGAAGTACAGACACGCATCAAT